TATATATTGTGTACAGCAATGGAAATGCACTGATGATTGTAATTTAGGCAGCTTAGTGATGATTTGAAGGGTTAGAGCAAAAAAAAACTTGTGCCTTTAAAACTGCTCAGAAGCGAGCTGACGATTCAAGCCTTAAAGAGAAAAAAAGGCTAACATCATGCTGAATGTTTTTTTTTCTTTTGTAATATTTTCTCACACATCATACAAGAATTTGTATAATATATTTAATGATGCTTACAGGCACACACACAAAAATAAAATAAAAAATAAAAAGACAGACAGATCCAGCTTCAATCCATTAATTTACAAACACTAATAGGATCAGTGCCTTCTGCAAGTTCTAAATATGTTTAAGCAAATTCCAAGAAAATCTTTATTGTGTTTAAAATAAAGGGTTAGGGTTGAACACACAACTTAATACTCAACTTTGTAATTGTTTGTGATGATCAAATTTAGAGTTGTTAATTATTGGAGCTGTGCTTTGTTGTGGCCTGTTAGTAACTGCTTCATTTTATTTTGAAAGGGCATTACCTATTGTTGTGTTTGTTTGCTCTGTCAGCAGTAGCCACCACAGTAAGCACTGAAGCACATTTATTACTCCTCCTTTAGTTTTGTTAAACTCATTTACACATTTTTGAAAATATGCAGCTCAATCTGGAATGGTATGTCACAAATCTGTAGCAGCACATCGTACAATGGGCACAGTTTTCTTTACAGACACATTAAGATTCTGGCAAAATGAGACCTCTTTAGTGGTTTTCATAGCATCATCCAAAGTCTGAATGGGTGATCCAACGGGTTGTTTAAAGTCTAACTTTGCGTGACTGAACTGGCATTTTTAATTTGATTTTTATTTTTTGTCATGTTTGTACATGATCAGGGTTAAAGTTTAAGAATTTTTTAAAAATAATCACATACTACTGTCACTAACTTTGAGCTGTATAAACTTTCTAAACTCATCTTACTCCCACAAACCTTACCTTTCTTCTATAGTTTATCCATCAAATTGTTGGCATTTTGTCATCTTACTCGCTTTAAATTAAAAAAAAGTTGATGAACGTTGGAGTTTTTGGCATCAGCGACTGTGATTTTTCACAGTCTTCAAACATTTTCTAGGTGTTGCCATTTTTTGTAAACTCGTGCAGAAAAGTTTGTGTTAGAGGTTTTCTTTCGTCAAATCAGCTACCACGAGTCATGCTTTGGCTCGTGCCGTCTTTCTGTTTTGAAACGTATAAACCTTACAAGTTCATTTTGTTCTCATTCAGCCCCGTTAAAAAGGCTCTCATTTCAAGTCTGCACTTAAGAATATGCCTGCAGAGGTCAGCTGTTCTGCTGTATAAACACCGACGTGCCTTTGGGCTCTTGCTTTGGCAAATAGCAGTCAGTTTGCACTGTGTCGGCAGCGTGTCCGTGCAGCCGCTCCTCCCAGTCCCACAAACCACTAAAGTCAGACTGGCCTGACTCGAGTTCCCAGCACTTTCTCTAATGAACTTCTCTATTTCTGAAGAAGAAGAAAAAAAAGCTGCTGAAAGGGCTGATGGCACCTGCCATTCACAAAACAAAGGTGATGCTGAACGTTTCAAAAGACATGCCTCAAGTCTGTTTTCTCATGCCTGATTTGATGGCAGATGCATGAGTTAGGGGCCAGAGGGTAATGATAGAAAAGGAACATTCATAACATCAGCGACAGGTTTTAATTATGTCTTTGGTTTTCTACAGTTTAGTAAACCAGACAAGTGAAGATCTGCAGATACATCCATGCAGAGATTGAATTACTTTGATTCACAGGGTGGTGAGAGGTCAAGGCTACGCGGCAACGTTAAAGCTCAAGTCGAACCAGGGACCCAGTCAGAGAAAACATAAAACCAAATTGCTTCGGACTCCCAGCTCATTTCCTTTCAAATGAAAATTTCTCAAACTCACAAAGACTGTGCATGTGCTGTGACTTTTTTTAAATTGTATTTTTCCTCTTGGTTTTCATTTCCAATCAGTCATGTCATCTCTGTGTTTTCTCTGAGTCTGGCTCATTTTTGCATGTTGCTCGCCTCAAACACCTTCCCAAAGAACCATAAGAAGCCATCTGTTTGAAAGAGCCCAGTGCCCTGGGAAAGCTTCTCTTAGCCTGTTCTCTCTGTGCCAAACTCCTTTTTTCTTTACCTTTTAAGTCATATATATACACATTCGCAGTCAACTGATCTGTGTGTTATTTCCATAGACCTCCATTTACTTTTATTGTCCCAAATACTGACCACAGACTCTAATTCCAACCATCCACAATAAAATAAAGCCAGTAAATTGTGTTAGAAGCTGATACTTTATTTTTCTTTTTGGTACCATGAGTGGAAAACAGTCAAGACAGTTTGTGTGTGGGTGTGTGTGTATTTGGACCTGCATGACAAAACAGGGAGTAAAATTGTTTCAAATTGAATCAATGAGCATGTGTTCATACAGAATGTGAAATAGAGAAATAGGATCCATATTTTTGCTACTTAGCCAATATCTCACTGGGCAGAGACTCAAAATTGCAAGTGTGCTTCTCATTGAATTCTAAGTGTTCAGAATGAAGCAGTGGGGACCTCCACTCAGGTTATTTTAAGAACATGTCCGTTCAACAACGATGCGAGTACGAACTCTCACAGCAGATTCATTGGTTTCAACCACAGTGCGCTGGTTTAGCTGTGTTTAAACTTAAATAAATTTGGGAAAACGTCTTCAGGCTCCACTGGGAGGACCCCAAATCATTGCGCTACAGTACTCGTAACAGTGAGATACTGTCGCTACAGTCATCATCCCCACAATAAATTAGTCATCTTTACTTAAAAGAAGCAAGTAAACCGATTGCACTTCAAAAATTGAGTACACTGAACTACTGAATAAATAGTGAGTGCAATCGGTTTACAAGCTTTTTATAGATAATGATAATGTATTTTTTTTGTCATTTTCCCAAGCTAAGATGCTAGCTAACAGCTGCATTCGAGTGATGGGATGAGCTGAATTTGACCAGAAAAAAGTGCAACCACAACTTTAACGTTTGGTCCAAACATTTCATCAGACATAAAACATCAGCACTGAATCTTGTGTCCTTGAACAGGGACAGTTTGTTTTTACTGTAACGTACTGCTATTGGTGATAACAATTACAGTCCAGCAAAAATACCAGCTCTACAGTACAATGACAGGATTTTTTTCATGTTTTGTTTCTTTCTTAGCAAACAAAAAGAAAATTTGCACCACATTTCTGAGCTAACATGTGGGTGGCAGTAACACAATGCTGAATACTAATTTGTGACACAAATTATACATTTGTAATGCATCAAGATTAGTTTTGTTGTTCAAGCKTAATTTTCTCAGCTTGAGAGTTGAGTGAACTAGCACAAAGTCTCTTCTGTTGTAAATAACTTTCAACAGACGCTCTTCATCTCAGCATGTAGCTCTAGATGTATATAATTAACTGCTGCCACAAAAAACAATTTCAATTAGTGATGTGCAGATCAATACTGAAACACTGATGCCACCAGTACCAAATCTTTATTCTCTAAAATTGGTTCTAAAATCAAACTATCAATACTTTAATACTTCAGTCATTTCGGGTCATTTATATCATTAACAGCAACCCAGTAGAACATAACTAAACTATCCAAATAAGCGTTAGGTGCGCTCTGCTTTTTCTTCCGCCTGGGAAATGTGTGAACGCAGCAGCAGGTGCTCAGTCTTTGCACATTTTATGTTTTGTATTTTCCGAAATTTGAAATAAGACGCAAGCTTTAATTTTTACAGTAGTTCTTGATAATTAACAATATTTCTTTATTGTTCCAAACACCATTTTCACATATTTTGTATAATTGCGTCCTCTGGTTTTTCTGTTGTATTAGCTCGACTACATTGTAAATAAGGACATTGCGTTAATATATTTCTGAGTTTAAATTTAATAAAGAAAATATACTCTGAAACACCAGAAACATTAGATCTATTTGCACAAACAGTTATATCACTGATACCAGCCTGAGTTTCATTTGGTATCAGAATTGGAAAAGAAATCAGTGGTACTAAAAATCACTCATTTTTATTGCAGTGGACACTTTTAGTCATATTTCTACTTGATAAAATCTCTCTTTACAGATTGTTGGATTTTGTAGTTTTCAACTCAACAAGAAAACTTGTGACATTTTAATCTCTTACTCCCTTAATTACACCCAAGAGTGTCTGTGTTGCAACACCTGTGGAACGATATGAGCCATGAAAAACACACTCCTCAATAAGGTTTAAAAAATGCAAAGATTTACACAAGACTGGAAAATAAATTTTATACAATAATAAAGAAGGGGGAAATATGTATCAATATTTTCACAATACCCTTGTGTGAATAAAAATGATTTGATTTTTATAGTCCTGAACTACAGACAGTGGAGGATACATTGCATATTTGCCATCTCTGTTGAGTACTTCATAAAGCCAAGTGGGAGATACCAGAGCTAACGGTAAAAGTTATCTTACATCTAATGTTCACCCTGAGGCAAATATTCATCTGTCTTGCTTCCAGCTGGCTGCTCATATTTGTCATTATTTCAACAAGACAGAAAGCCAGAATATAAATGCTGCTCAACACACCAGTAACAACATAATTATCCTTCTTTATAACACTGTGTTCTCAGCAAGAATCTCCTCATGTCCTCTTTTGAGGCCTCTAGAAAAGTTGCTCTGGTTTCTTTGGGGAGTCTTAACTTAGAACCTTCAGACACTTACGTGACAAATTGTTGCTATTGTGTTTCACAGTGTAAAAGGTTCAAGTAATCCAACCAGAGTGGGAAAGCATTTATTTTCTGATCCAAGCTCATTGTATTAATCATATGTTACCTGTAAACACAGCTCAGTGCCACAACCATCCATTAAGTCAAAGCTTAACAATTTGCCACATAACAACTGGAAACAACAATTAAAAAAAAAGATATTTTCATCTGCTTATAAACACTAAACTTGTGATAAAAATATACTTAACGTGCCAAAAAAAACATATTCCTGGAAAAGCCACATGTTTCTACACTTACCTTCTCACCTGCTTGTCCTTTTAAGCCCTGGGATCAGTCACATGCAAACAGGTGTGAAGTGAGGAGAGAAACACAAGAAAAAAGAGGAACCAGTGTTAGAGGCAGGAGGGTTCGGGGCATGCAGCATCCTCAGGACTAGTCATGGGGGTGGGGGTGAGACTCTACATGAAGCTACGGTACAGATGTGTGAGATAAGTTATGCTGAAAGAGAGCTAAAGGTGTCATTATGCCAGAAAAGTTTTTTTTTTTTCGTTTCTAACAAAACATTTTTTTTTCCCTCTCTGTTGGAGGAATCGTTATTCAGCTCCTCTCATGCATTTGGAAACTTTTAAAATATTTTTTGATGCCAAACCCACTTTGATCCGATGGCCTTTTGTGCAACCAAGTCATCTTTAAAGTGTGTTGAGCGTTATGTTGTTTTATTTTATTTGGTCCTTATTTAAGCAGGAAGTGTCTTGAGAATAACATCTCTTTTTCAAGGGAGACCAGGTCAAAATGGCACACTCTTATAAAAATACATGCTAAAAACTACAAATACATAAACATAAAACAAGTCCAGCTTTAAAACAGAAGTTGCACTACAGCTAAAGACTATCAGAGCTTTAAACATTCCCAGAAATACAATTACATTAAGCTTTAATTTGGTTTGAAGGATATTTTATGACGACTATGCAAAAATAAAAGAACACTGTTTCACTAAATTCAGAAAAAAAGATCTTGGGAACTCCAAAGAGGGGCATAACAGGTCCTTGAATGTGTTTTAAAAAAGTACCCAAATAGTGTGTGTGCAGAACAAAATAACATTTTCAAAAAGACACCTATGAAATAATAATGAAACACAATGTAAAAAATGGCAGAAAAAACATTTGAACATTGAATTTCATTCGCATACAACACCTATTTTTTATTATGATTAAATTCATTTCATTTGATTGTATAAGTGATGATACAAGTTTTTTACACATCTGACTTACTGTGGTACAAGTACCTCAAGTGCTTATGAATTGAGAAAACCTAAAAAAGGCAAAAAACCTACAAAAATACTTTTCATATCTGAAATTAGAAAACTTTCATAGGACTTTACCACATTTTTAATAACTTTTTTTACTCAATAAAGAATATTTAATGCAAACCATTAAATTGAGCTTTGAATGTCATTCGTAATTTAGGTTACTTTAGATGAGACTGAATTTTAAAGGTTATCATCAGCGTTTTGCACTTTTACTGTATTTGGTAAAATTCCACTTAGAGCGACTGAACAACTTTTAACTATTTCTCAAATACAGCTAATTAAAAACATCTGGGTTTTTTTTTCAGTTTAACAATAAAAATTAATTAACTTCTGTATTTTACTGTTAATGCCCGAAACATCAAGTTTTAGATGTTTTATGTAGCTGTGTTGTATTCTACGTGTGTTGTAAAGCATTTGAATGTAACTACTATGTGCTGGACACTCACCATTCTTCCAGGAATTCCCATACTTCCTTTGTCACCCTATTGACCAATTCAGATTCAGAAGGAATACAAGAGCATAAAGCAGAAGTAAAGTCTTAAAAGGAAACACTCCCGACTTTTAGTCATTTACAAGCCACAAAACCACTTATCCCCATCTCATCAAAATGGGTTTGAATTTTAACAAATGCCGCTGTTGTATTAAGATAGCAGGAGTTGTTACAGGACACACCAGTAACACTGGTCTGTTAGCATCATTAGAGTTGGCCTGATTAGTGATACAACTGAGGAAACAGGTGCTCAAGCAGGAAACTCAAAGCTTGTAAATGTCCTGATGTCATGGTATCCTTTTAAGAAACAAAATCATTGTGTTAGTCAAGTGACCATGCCACATGCAATGCTGAGATCAGAGTAAAACATTTCATCACACTGTGAATACMAAAGATACCAGCTCTACAGCCAGTGTCATCAAGACACACACCAGCTTTACCCTTAGAGTCAAGGTGTTCTTAGTTCAGTGGTTCCCAACCTATTTTCTACAAAGCCCCCTTTCTTATTTCCAAGCCAAGCAGATCCCCCTCCTCAATCCTTCACCGCTCCCCATCTCTCCCAAAGTCACGTTCAACCTTTATCTCTTTATTAAAACAATAAAAGAATAAAGTGAATAGTTACAAATGTTCATTTGGAAAAGGAAAAGAAGAAGAGCTGAAGTTTACAGAGTTTTAATTATTCAAATGGTTTGGTGATTTTTATATACAAACAAGAAACTGATATTTTCACAACCTCTGTGCATGCCAAAATGGAACCCAACCTGGGGTCATCTGCCTCTGCACAATGTCTAGTTAAGTCAATATGCTGATTTTACATACTCTTCTTTGCATTTGTGGAAATCCAGGTAGGCAAACAAAATGGCACAATAAACATACATGTGACAACATTTCAAGTGGATATCATCAAATTGTGTTTACTATGCATGTTGAAGATTATAAATATACAAAGCTTTGACAAAAAAATATCAATAGGGTGTACAGGGGAGAAGTTCCTGTGATTCAGTTTAGGCAAATTTTATCATTTTTTGTGTTTACTCCAGCTATTAAGCATCAAACGTGATATAATCATAGGAATCTCTTTTTCAACAAATTACCCATGAAAAGACAAAAATAAAATGGGGAGAATGGTGTCTGTCGGATGTACAGTTTAGGAGCTATGTTGATTTAAAGTTTTCATTTTACACAATGGAAAATCCTGGTCGGCCATTAAAGATGGTCAATAAAACCATAATGGGACAATAATTTGCTCTGGGGCCATCACAATCCATTGACTAGACACCTTAAGGATTACAAAAATTTAGGTTAAAAAATATATCTTTTGGGTGCATGGGACCCCCTCCTTCCTACTAGACTGCGCATTAACACTTTTTCAGAAAACCAAAACAAGCACAAATGGTTCTTTTTTCGCAAAATTTAGGAAGTTTTTTTGATTTTGTCATTTCCATCAACCTTTTCTAATGCAATACTTCAAAATGTGCATAAAAAAATCACTGATGGAATAACGGCTATTGTCACCTTCCATCATAAATGTTTTAAAGTCATGTGTTAGGGACATTGATAGCATGTTTTTTGTTTGTTTCTTATTTAACACATTGATATACACTAAAAGGATTTCTGCAGGTCCTCAGTGCTGTAGTGTCAGGGTCTCTGAGGGACAACTACAACCTTACTGGCTTCAGACTCTAGACTCATTTCAAACACAAAATTGACTCCAATCCAAACAACTAATGTTCATCTCTAGTTTGACAGCTGCATTTAAAACTGTTAATGAAACCACAGAAAGAAACAAAGTTTAATTAATAAATAATTAATCGATGGGATCTCTGCTGCATGTGGAGAGATATACAGTTGTGGTCAGAAGTTTACATCCACTCTAGGGCGTGATTAGCATATACATTTTGAACATTTAAAGATTGATTTCAACCATTAGTTTTTCTAGGTTGGAATAAAAATACAACATATAATTTACAAGTTTGAATTTATTGTGGCTAATCCACACATGGTTCAAATTAAATATCCAACATATAACTACAGTACACCCCAACTAATATTTGATGAMGTGTCTTTCAGTTGAGTTTCAACCACACACTTTTTGCATCCATCAACAAGCTTCTGGAATAACTCTGGCTGATATTTGACCCATTTTTGTGGCAAAATTGGCAGAGTTCATTTAAAGTAGTTGGTTTCTTGCCACAGATTCGACTTTTAAGCATAGTCCACAAATTTTTAACAAGATTGAAGGTTTCATTCCACCCTGGAAAATGAACGGTTCAAATCAATCATTAAAGCCCAGAAATATTATGATATTTATTTCTAAAATGGTTGTATGAACACTTCTGGGTAGAACTGCTTATAACGTGAGGGGGAAACAGATGTTCAGGATACTCTATTATAAAAAAGACCAAAAAAATAAACCTCTCTTGGCTTTTTAGAGAGTTCAAATGTTTCAAACTAGAAATAAACAATAAATAACACTAGATTATTAATTATACTTCAAGAAGATCACACATCCTCAGTTGCTCAGCAAATCTAAGTTTTGGTTTCTCTTCTTTCTTCAATGTAATTCTCCACAATTCAAGAAGGGAATTTAGTTTTGGACCATTGTTACTCCGCAAAACAGCCAAGATGTTTGACTGTTCTTCATTTAGGATCGGATTCAGTAAGGAACAATGAGAGGCTCACTGGTTTTGGGGGTAAATGGTCATAAACCAGATGGTTACATGTCATCATGATAAAAAATAAAATCGTGTAGGTTTGACACACTGACAGCCGGGCCAAACAATAAAGGTGAGCTGAGTTAGAAGTTGAAAAAAAGCATGAGCACAAAAGAGAAGCAGGTCTTCTCAGAGCGTTTGATAAAAACACAGCAACATATGTGACACAGCCACCAACCCAGTCTCATCACTGAACATGTTGCAGTTTTACTGGTTTACAGTGCAAAAAAAATAGCTGAAAAGAGCTGGAGATCATCAGCTAATATTTACCTATTTGATTATTCATTAATTCACCTAGTAGTGTTTTACTGGCTGGTACACCATCAGGTCAGTATTGACAAGTCATACTTCTGCAACTTTATATAAGTTGTTATATTAAACTATTATTATTATTATTATTATTATTATTACTATGTTTCCTGAACGATCCCTGACCTCAAATTTAAAACACTTTGCTTTACTCATGAAATGCTGGTAATCCAGGAGACAAATAATAAATACAGATAAGCCTATATTTTTCAACTTCAGTTTTTTTTTCTCTTATACTGATTTGTTCAGGATTAGGCAGCTAAGAAGAGAAACATAATGATGTGTTCACGAAGGTTCATTACATAGAGAATATTAATTTTTCCACCATTATTGAGAAAAACTGTAAACAGTACAGGTAAAAAAGACAGGGTTATGTGGCTCAAACAACAGCTGATGCTGTTAGGAATGGGAAATGTTATGTTTGAAAGCTTGAAGCAGCCTGGTCCACTGATGTACTGACATCTCTAATGTTTTCTGAACTGAGTCACAACCCTTGACCACAAAGCAAGTTTTTGATRGATGATAGAGTTTAAGTTCACAGATGCACTGTTTCTTTTAAATGCTCCATAAATTGGCATCATTTAATCTGTAGAATTCTATTGTTTGGCATTTAAATCTAATATTTAATATTTTATGTAAGGCTATGCAACTTGTTACCAACATGCAACAATGTTTCCATTAGGAAAATGCCTTTATTTTTAACTTCCAGGCAGTGGTGCGATGCTGCTGTTAACACACCACATTTAGTCTGTGTTCAGTTATGTTGGAATAATTCAATTAGGCAAAACTCTTTATGGTGGTATTCTTACAAAATATGTAAAAGAAAAGTCAAAAGTGTAGTAAAATTTATGAAACTACAACAAGTTACATGGCCTCTGGGGATCAGTGTGTGGTTGAAACAAAAATCAACTACTGAACATCTGGATGGTTTTGGTCCATGCTCAGTCTGTTTGGAATCAGCCTGAAATCCATCATTACAAGTCATTCTTGGTGTAACCATTCTGGCAGTTTCTATGCTCCTAAAGATCCATTAAAGAGAAAAAATATATATTTAAAAGCTTTACAAAGAGCTTAAGTTTGACAAAAGTTGTCAAGTATGAACATACCATTAGCCCTAAGTGCTGATTTTTAAAGCTCGTGTTACCTTATGATCAAAATCTCTTTCTGTTTTACTGACGAGGATTGTGTTTCTTCTCAACAAGTTGCACAGCCTTGCTTTGAACCATGCAGTAATGTACAAACTATAAATGTACCATTTTGGTGACTCAATCAAAAAAAAATGCCTCAGAGACAGTATGAATACTATCAGATCTACTCAGCAGAGAACTGACAGAGACATCAGTACTGCAGTGATGACTATTGACTCATGCAAATCGTTTATTCGGAGACACACAGACACAAGTTTAAAAGGCGGTTACCGGAAAGCCAGCTCGTCCAGGAGGACCCTGAAAAAGTGGTGCAAGAAAATTGGTCCAAAAAAGAAGGAGTACATTCTACACATAAAGTCCAAATAAGAAGGAAACCAACAGGTCAAATTAAAATGGAGAAGACAGGACAGAGTGGTTTAAAGTCTTGCACTAATATGTTTTATTTTGGCCCGTCAGCTCAGTGACGGACCATAAGTGCAATAACAAACCACTTCTCAAGACCAAATGTTCACTGAAAGGTTTCGACCCAACACGAGTTCTTCTGAACGCTTCTCACCACAAAGACTACTGCACATGTTGAATGTAGGAGAACAGAGTCTAGGAAAGAAAACCCTCGTGATTCTGCATGAGCAACCCCATCCAACACTCCAAACTAACCTCACCCATCTTAAATGTTCTGCTAAAACGGATATGACAGCACACTGGTACCGTCGCCTAAATCAAAAACAAACCGCAAAAGGCCAAATCACAATGACTTCTTCTTCCCTCTCATTAGCGGTTACTGCAAATGAGAAAGAGCACATTGAAAAGGTCGAGTGTGTTTGGCTTTGAGCAGACTTAGCGGAACTTGACTGAGGAGCTTGAAAACAAAAAGGAACAATGCTAATTGAGTGGAAGTAAAACAGGAAGCCTTAACGTTTTCTCAAAGGCTGCTGAAGCACAGACACTTCGCTTAGAGGGAGGATAACTGTCATCAATATTCCTGAGCTGTGTAGCAAGTCAATCAGGCCTAAACAATGCAGATTATCATATATAATCCCAATAACTGAATTATAAAGTAAAAGTGTACACACTCTTGGTCATTCGGTCACAGTAAAAACAGTAACAGTAAACACAGGCGATGTTGGATATGTATGTTTCCTTTTTGTATAACTGTTCCCTTATATTTATATTTGTGAGAAAAATTTACATATATACTGATTTCACAAGTGTGACCTCCATCTTCATTGTAGTGTGTGTTAGTAAAACTAATTTTTTGAGAAAATCTCATATTGTTGAGGGTCCAGATACATGGGGCTGATGTAGGGCTGGGCGGTATAACTTCAAAGAGGGGAGAGAGAGAGAGAGAGAGAGAGAGAGAGAGAGAGAGAGA